TATATATATATATATATATATATATATATATATATATATATATATATATATATATATATATATATATATATATATATATATATATATATATATATATATATATATATATGCCTGTCTACGTTGTTGTATAGGGATGATCATTATGCAAACAAGTTGTTTTTCTCTTCTTTCGTATGCAAATAAGCGCGACCAATGTGACTTTCGACCTCACCGCGTGTTTACAAATATTTTTTTGCCGCAGAACTAATCACTGATCAGATTACCATTTCTGGAACAGTGATCAGTTATTTGTAGCGTTTTATCAAAAATTCTAAGAGATACTGGCGGTGATAACGAAAGATTGACTAAGAGAGGGGGATTGTGCGACAGGAAGTACTTATCACTCGAACTTCAATGATATAAGTATAAAAGGAGTGATAAGTATGAAACAATACTGTGATTCAAATTCAAACAGATAACTTTGTAAAGTTTGTTAGCAGTGAGAAAAATGAAAACGGATGGAGTAGTGGAAGGGATAAAATTTGGTAAACTGAATTGAAACTGTTTTAGCTTGAATTTCGTTCAAAACAAGAATTGTTTTTTGTTTGCTTTTTTTAAGTCACTTCAAACTTTCATTTATCAATAACATCTAACAATCCAAATAAATTACAGCTAATATTTAGCAAATAGTCGCCCGATCCATTAAATTGTTCTTTAGTGAGATTTTCCGAAATTCTGAAGGTTAATCGTTTTCCTGGACAATATTTACCAAAAATATCTTACTGTATACGTATAAGAATACGTAATGTGACATAAACATCACAGTGTCCAAATAACAAATGTCACATCAGAGAAGGAAGGAAGGTTTGATCTTAGTGTCCAAACAATTTACTTGCTGTTTTCCATAGGGACTCATACCGCATTTGATAGACCTCCTCAATCATTCAACATATAAATTTGAACATGTTTTTTGGAAATATTATACGACAAATATTTAAAACTAGATAAACAACAATCATTCATCGGAAAAAGTTGGCGTAGATTGTTCTTCGACGGTTTTTATTTTAACTGAATCAAAGTTCTTTGAACTAATATAATGAACTCGGAACTTTGCGCCTATTTAGTCTTCTAGATTCCACTTATTCTTCTAATTCAGGTTATTGTCAACATTCAATAACCTCTGAGAGTGCGCCTGGGAGTACGCAAAAAATTACGTATAAAACATGACAGAGTAAGAGAGACGGAATGAAGGATACGTGGGGAGGGGAAGGGTGCTACGGACAAAGACGCCGGGAGAGTGGAAGCGGGGAGATTGAAATATTTAAAAAAGGATGTGTAGAAAAGGAAGATGACTGTCTAAAAATTTATTCAGTAAATTTTATCACATTTTTGTGAAAATTTTTATGAGAATTGATACATGAGTGGCAAGTGGCGCTGTTGCTATGCGGACATTGCAGCAAGAAATGAACGATTGGATGCTTAGGATGGTGAAGTGGAAGAGTGGAAGCAGAGCCAATGAGGCTTGAAATATTTGAAGAAATTTTGAATTCACGGCGCAATTCTTTGTTTACCATCAAAACTTACAAGTTCTTACATTCGATTTTGAAATGAAAAAATGGGAGGGCTGAAAAGTTTCCTTAATTCAGAAAATCAATAAAGTATACTTGGAAAGTTTAGCTATTTTGCATGCTAAGGATCGTAATTTCTACCTAACACAATTACACTGGATTCGATCCCTATGGATTTAGTTGTTTCGTAAATGACAAAATGGACAAGAGGGAAAGCGATGATACTAGTATTATTTAGCTCGATTTCAAGTAACCAGTCACTACTCCCTTTTCGACTGATAAAAGGACCATTTTATGATAACGCAATAAAAAAAGTTTTACGAGGTAGAATGGAAAGAAAAAAGACGACATGCAACCGGATCGATGAAGGACTGCGGAAACCCAATGTAATTGCGATTAGATGGGTGATTATTGTTGAGATGGTGCTAAGAGCTAATTTCGATTTCAACACAGCGGAAGTTGTGAAAGTTACTGGATCTAATGTTGTTGTAATAACTTGAGAAGGATGTCGGAACCGCTATATTGCCGAGTCGCGATGAAAACAGGAAATTAAAAAAATTTTGTACTTTCCGTAAACGACCTAAGTTACTTAGGGACCCGCAACTATATTTATTTTCAGGCTCTTGAGTGCAGAAGGTCGGAAAGTAACTTCTGAAAGTACTTGTTGATACACCAAGTTAATTTAAATGATAATTTCAACAATAATAATAGTAATAATTAATGATAATAATAATAATAATAGTAACAATAATAATAATAATAATAATAATAATAATAATAATAATAATAATAATAATAATAATAATAATAATAATAATAATAATAATAATAATAATAATAATAATAATAATAATAATAATAATAA